CTACGACCATATAGGACTACAGTGTGACCCCACCCATCTCCCCCTTTCTCCCCCCTTCCCCCCCAACACCCGCTCTCTCTCCCTCCCTGTTACGTCTTCTCTCTCCCTCTACAGCGGTTCCTCAGTCGGTTCAACTGGGCAGTGTTCAATTCAACAACAAAGCCAATCGGTTTTTCAACGAACAGCAGGCGTCCTTACGACCCTTTTCCTACCCCTTTCCTAAACAGATTCAACTGGGCAGCGTTCAACAACAAAGCCAAGTGGTATTTCAACGAACAGAGCCATGGCGCACTAGACTACACTGTAACCCGTTCCCACCCTGCTCTTTCTCTCTGTCTCCCTGACACCTCTCCTCTCTCCCCTTCCAGTGGTTTCTGAGTAGATTCAACTGGGCGGTGTTCAACAACGAAGCCAAGTGGTATTTCAACGAGCAGAGTCCGGGCGTAATGGACTACAATGTGACGGACGCGCTGGTGCAATGGTTCACTCCTTTCGACCCTCATTCTGTCCCCTTCCACCCGTCTCCACCCCTTTTCACCCACTCCTATCCCTGTTGCCTCTTCTCTTCCCCTCCACCACACCACAGTGGTTCCTAAACAGGTTCAACTGGGCGGTGTTTAATAACGAGGCCAAGTGGTATTTCAACGAGCAGGAGCCGGGCGTAATGGACTACAATGTGACGGACGCGCTGGTGCAATGGTTCACTCAGAGGAACATCAAAGTGCGCGCTCACAACATCTTCTGGGCCGTGGAGAAGTTTGTCCAGACGTGGGTCAAGGTGAGTCAACGTGGTTCAAGGTGAGTCAATGTGGTTCAAGGTGAGTCAATGTGGTTCACTCAGAGGAACATCAAAGTGAGTGGTTACAACATCTTCGGGGCTGGAGAAATACGTTCAGCCATGGGTCAAGGTGGGTCAACGTGGGTCAAGAGAATGAGTCAATAAATGTCAAAGTTGGTCAAATTGAGTCCATGTGCTTTCAGTTAGAAGCAAGACGCCCCCCCGTTGCCTTCCAGCCTCTCACCTTTTTCATCCAACCGTCTGCCCATCTTAACCCTCACAAACAACGTGTTTATGGACCGGGATCGAGGGTAATGCAGAGGCGCATCGAGGCAAGGTGCAGCACTAGGATGTCATCAACGAGCCTCACTGCGTAGCTGGTTTTTGAGAATAGTAAAAGACCAGCATATCCCATTGCCCTCCCTTCCACTCCTCCCCTCCTCCAACCGACCCTCTGCCTCTCTCCTGCCTGGCAGGGCCTGAACAACACCTCCCTATGGGCGGCCATGCAGAGGCGCATGGCCAGTGCAGTGACCCGCTATAGGGACAAGGTGCAGCACTGGGATGTCATCAACGAGCCTCTGCATGGCAACTACTACGGGCAGCGCCTGGGCGGCAATGTGCACTCGTGGATGTTTAAGGCTGCCCGGGCGATTGACCCTAATGTCAGGTTGTTTCTTAACGAGTACAACACTGTGGAGCAGTGCGACAAGGAGGCTAACCCGGAGATTTACCTCGAGGTGAGCTGGTCTCACCTGGTGCTCTGTTGGATTCACCTGGTGCTCTGTTGAGTTCACCTGGCTCTTTGTTGGATCCACCTGATGCTCTGTTGACAAGGAGGCTAACCCGGAGATATACCTCGAGGCGAGCTGGGGGATGTAGGACAGTTGAAGAGGAAAGAGAAGTAGCAGAGAGTGCAGTGCATCTGTTCTTAACGAGCACAACAATGTGGGGCAGTGTGACAAGGAGGCTAACCCGGAGATTTACCTCGAGGTAAGCTGGTTTCACTTCATGTGATGCTCTGTTGGATTCACCTGGTGCTTCTTTAAATTCACCTGGTGCTTTGTTGGTTTCACCTGCTACTCTGTTGGTTTCACCTGCCTTGTTGCGTGGTTGTCAACGGATATATTCTTTACCAAAGCGTCCATGTGTCGCCTACATGACATGGAAGGAAGTCACGATTCATCTCTCCAACCGTCTTATGCTATCATAAAACAATCTTCAGACACCCATACAAGCATAGCAAAAGCAAAACCGCATGTCACCATCGCCACATCTCTAAATTTCTCAAAATCGCACTCCACAACGCGCCATTTACACCCCTTCCCCCCTCCATATCAATCCAGTTATCCGCCCATCTTCTCCCCATTCACCTCCCCCGTTTTTCCCCTGCCCCTTCGTTCCTCCGCAAGCAGAAGGTGTGGAATGTGACTTCCAGTGGGGCACCGGTGACAGGTATTGGCATGGGAAGTGACGTCCCATGCTCCCCTCCCCTCACCCTTCTCTCCCCTTCCCTTGCCGCCCATCCCCCCTCCAATCCTCCTCTCCTCCCAAGCAGAAGGTGTGGAATCTGACTTCCAGTGGGGCACCAGTGACAGGCATTGGCGTTGAGGCACACTACAGTGGGGAGCCACAGCTGGTGAGTTGAGTGAGAGAGTGGTGTGAGAGTGGTGTTCTGCTGTACCCACCATTTTGCCCTATTCTTGTATCCCAATGCTTATGTCAATAAAGGGCCATTCGTGGCGTGAGAAAGTGGGAAACGACATACTGTAGCACAGTGGGGTGACAGGGATAGGTGTGGAGGGACACTAAAGTGGGGAGCCGCAGCTGGTAAGTGGAGAGGGAGAGGGAGAGGGAGTTGCAGAATGGGCGGGTATTGGAGAGGAGGGGAACGCCTTGGCACATCCCTGTTACCCTCTCAACTCCAGCTTTTCCAGCTTTCAGGTCCGCTTGAAGCAAGATCCGAATATGCTAGCAGTAGCTGGCATGCCCATCTGGCTGAAACTCGAGTTCACTGAAGTCCAATCCGAGCAGAGAGAGCGGATTACCTGGAAGCAGTGATGCGGGAGGCGTTTGCACATCCCTTGATGGCTTTCAGCATGCTCTAATAGGGCGGTTGTGCGACTCTTCCCTTACCCTTACCCTCTGTCTTCACCTCCCTTTTTCCCCCATTTCCTCTCTGCAGGTTCGTTTGAAGCACGACCTGAACCGGCTGGCAGTAGCCGGGATGCCCATCTGGCTGACCGAACTCGACTTCACGGAAGTCCAGTCGGAGAGGCAAAGAGCCGACTATCTGGAGGCGGTGATGCGGGAGGCGTTCGCACATCCCTCGATAGCTGGCATGGTGCTGTGGTCGGCCGGTCGGTCCACGTGCACGTACTATAAAGACATGGATCCGGGCATGTGCAGTGCGTGCGATGCATGCTTGGCAAATGCCATGTTTGTCGACAACTTAGCAGGGCAGAGGTGAGGTGCGGGTGTAAAAGTGCAGAAGGGGAGGGCTTGTTCAGGGTCATTGTGCTCTCTCTGGTCAGGTCCGCCGCTTGGCCGGTCGGTCCACGTGCATGTACTAGAAGGACATGGATCCGGGCACGTGCAGTGCGTGCGATGCATGCTTGGCAAATGCCATGTTTGTCGACAACTTGGCAGGACAGAGGTGAGCGCACAGAGGAGGGGGTAGAGGGAGGGACTCTAAGGTCATTGTGCTCTCTCTGGTCAGCCGCCGGTGGGTCGGTCAACGTGCACGTACTATAAAGACATGGATCCGGGCATGTGGAATCCGTGTGACGCATGCCTGGCAAATGCCAAGTTTGTCGACAACCTGGCAGGGCAGAGGTGAGCTGCAGGTGTTGAGGTGCAGAGATTGGGATTGGCGTAAGGATTTGTTAGGGTTGTTGTGCTGTGGTCGGCCAGTCGATCCACTTGCACCCACTACAAGGACATGGATCCAGCCACGTGCAGTGCATGTGAGGCGATTTTTGAGTCGACTCAAAAGTCGGCCAGTCGATCCACTTGCACCCACTACAAGGACATGGATCCAGCCACGTGCAGTGCATGTGAGGCGTGTGTGGGGGATGCCAGATTTGTGGATAACCCGGCTGGGCAGAGGTGAGCCTGGTAGACAAATGTGTCACTTATTATAAAGACATGGATGGACATGTGCAGTGCGGGGATGCATGCTTGGCGAATGCTGGTTTCGTGGATAACCTGGCTGGGCAGAGGTGAGCTGCAGCTGTAAAGGTGCGAAGAGGAGTGGGGTTTTGGGAAGGGGGGAATGGGGGGAGGTGTTAGGGTCATTGTGCTCTGGTCGGCTGGGAGACTCACGTGCGTGTATGATGAAGACATGAACCCTATCAAGACATCCCTTCTGAGTCGACTCAAAAGTCATCTCGAGATTCATGTGCGTCTATCATGAAGCAATGTGTACCATGAAGCAATGTGTACCATGAAGCAATGTGTTCCATGATGAAGACATGGATCCAGGCATGTGCCAGAAAAATCCGACACTCGTCCCTGATTTTTCTATCGTCTTGTACACCCTCCTCACGTTATCAGTCCTTTTCCCACAGGCATGTGTGATTGCGGAAAGAGTGGAGCACACAACTAGAAGACAAGTGACTAAGCATGTGGTCACTTGCTTGCATTCCTGCATGGATCCTCGTTCACCCCTCTTCCACTCCACCCCCTTTTCCATTCTGTTACCATTACAATTCCCCCCCAGGTATGTGCGCTTGCGGAAGGAGTGGAGCACACATCTAATAAAGCAGGTTACGTTTGGAAGCCCGATCAAATTTAGAGGGTTTCATGGCAAGTATCGAGCCCGCATCACAGTTAATGGGAAGCTAATAGAGAGGTACTTTTATGTGTCGAAGCAAACAGCTGGGCTTAATGTGGATATTAAGATATAGGACAGAGTACGCAGGGGGCTAATGTGGTGACTCCCTTGGTTGCCAAACGTTTGTCACTGTGTAGACAAATGCTTCTTGTTTGTGTACACAGATCCATAGTAAAATATCATCAAGGGGATGGAACAGTGTGTCCCCCTATTTGGATGCTTTGGTTCAGAGCAGATGAACAGCGTTTTATGGAAAAATGAAGAATTACTCAGTACAAAATGTACAGTGCGCTATACAGAGTGTACAAAATGCAGCAACTGCCTCTTACGCCCATCCCTCTTCCACGTTCCGAGCTCCTCCTAACCTCTCCCTTCCAATCCACACAATCACAGCTCCACACGAAGCGCGTTGCCAGGCGAAGGATGCGCCACGCGCTCCCGAATCTTCTCCGCCTTCCCTTCACCCTTCTCTCCCTTCATCCCCATTTTCTCAAACACGTTCCCAAACTGCGTCTGAATCTGCTCAAACCCTTTCTTCGCCTCCTCGTACCTCCTCCACGCTTCCTTCTTCACAGCTTCGGCCTGATCGCCGCTCTTCGTTTTCGCGGTTTCAGTCGCGTCGTTCGCCGCATTCCACAGCTCATGCATGGAAGCTTCCGCCCTGCTATACATATCGCGCAGCACATCTTCCCCCTCTTCCGCTCCACCAGGCCTCCGTAGCTCTCCCACCTCCCCCGTCGCGAAGCTCAGCGCCTCTTTCACCGCCTCGTAACGCGAGCTCGCGGCTTCCGCCAGCTTCTTCAGCCAATCCGCGCTCTTCCCTGAGCCCTTCTCCGCCGCTTCCTGCGCCTTCCGCGCAGCATCTTCCGCCTCATCCTTCCGCTGCGCCACAAGCCGCAGTGACCATTCCATCATCGCCTTCCCCGCGCGCTGGAAGTCGGCGGGGCCCGGAATAGCCGCCGCAGCGCGAGACACGGTATCATATGCCTTCGACCCCACCGACTTGGCCTGGTCGGCGGCGAATTGACCCGCCCCAGAAACGCCCTCCCCTACGCGGCCCGCTGCGCCAGCCGCGGTGTCGTACACGCCTTTCCCCGCGCTATATGCGCCTGGGCCCGCCTGCTTCACCGACCCCGCAGCGAACTCTCCCGCTTGGCCCACCGTGGCAGCACTCCCCCTTGTTATAGTCACAATAGGCTTGAATGTGCCTAAAACGAAAGATAGAGAGCACAGACGGATTTCTGCACAGCGGCTTCAAACGTTGACAGCGTTCTGCTCACAGCTGCAAATGACTTGATTCAAATTGGATCTGGAGCGTCTTCACGTCGTCTACACTTCGCAATTTAGATTGCACGATTTGATAAAGAATTGACGACACAGCGTCGGTTTGAACGAACGGTACTATGGCAGCCACTATAGTCTTAGAACACAAGATAGGAAGAGTTACGAGTTGGGAATGACTCCCAGCTCCTACAAACCCCAAGAGCCGAGGTACAGTGATGTGGAACAGTGCCACACTGTCCCCAACCACGAAGGGTCTCGAAACTACCCTTCACTAGGGCCTACACCAAGTGAAATGTTACACTACACAAAGTAATGTAACTATCTTCAATATCTTGAGGTGTACCCTTTTGGCAAGCTTCGAAAACACTTGAGGGCTTGACACCAAGGCTCGGGCTCTTCATCACAAACTCATCCTTGAGTTCTTGATGGGTCTGCTGCACACACCTGCGACACGCCGAACGTTCGACACAGGACAAAATAGAAACCGCGCACGACAAAATAGAAACCGCGTGCGAGACACAAACGACCGCGTAACACGCGTCTAGCGATAACTCGCTATTGACTCGACACACACACTCGACATCTTGACTCAACATTCACACACAATTATAAGCATGAAATATATATTATCCCATGCCCTCATACCATTCCATACACACACACATTCACGCACACGGACAACAAGCCGAGTGCAAACCGTAGGGTTGCACCAACAAACTCCCCCTCGGATTGTTGGCCTTAGGATATGTTGCTCTCTCAGTTCAGAGCCATCCCAGCCAGCTTGCAACACTTCCAATGCTGCTGCTCCACCAGCCTCTTGGTCATCATGTCAGCCGGCTGCCCCGTGGTCTTCACGTAGCGCAACTCAACTTCACCCGCGGTTACCATGCTCCTCGTCCAATGCCACTTCACCCTCATGTGCTTCGTGAGTCCATGCAACACAGGGTTCTTAGCAAGAGCAATGGCACCCTGGCTGTCACAGTACAGTGGGGTAGGTCCTTGCTGCTCCTCCCCCAATTCAGCCAACAAACGCCGCTGCCACACAATCTCCCGTACGGCACGGAAGAGTGCCATGTACTCGGACTCCACCGAGCTCAAAGCTTGGTCAACCTGCTTCTTGCTCTCCCAAGCAGTTGGGCCTCCACCAACACAGCATATGAAGCCTCCCACACTTGTCATGTCCTCTGGTTCTGATGCATATGAAGCATCCGAGTAGGCGGTGAGGAACAAACGCCCGGGTTCAACACCATCCGCGCCCTTTTGGCGCCTTTGTGCCGCCGCCGAGTATTGCAGCCCAACGGTCGGTGTTTGGCCAAGATACTTGGCCACCCTCATTCCAGCTGCTACCTGCTCCTCATTAGGGCATTGCACAACCCTAGCCAGCTGCCCGGTAGCAAACGCGACGTCCGGTCGGGTGTTTACCGCCGCATACATGAGGCTGCCCACCAACGAGTGAAATCGGCGCCTCTCCTCTTCACCAACGCTCTCCTCCTCTGGTCCCTTCACACACTTGAACCCAGAGGGAAAGGGTGTAGCCACATGGCCTTCACTCTGCCCAAAGTTGGCAGCCAATGCCTCCAGGTACTTTCGTTGATGCACCCGCATGCACCGCTTCTCCACATCTCGTTCGATGTGGAGCCCAAGGTAGAAGCTCACGTCACCAAGGGCCTTGCACTTGAACTTGTCTTGAAGCTTCAGCATCACCTCCTTCACAAGGTCAGAAGAGGGTGAGAAAATGAGGATGTCATCCACATAAACCACCATGAAACTCCTCTGCTCCCCCTCGCCAAGCATGAACAAGGAGTGATCGGCCGTTGAGGGAGTGAAGCCGATCCCCTCCAACACTTCGCGCAGCTTCATGTACCATTGCCTAGGGGCCTGCTTCAGCCCATAGAGGGCCTTCTTCAGCTTCCACACTCTGCCACTACCATCATCAAACCCCTCTGGCTGCGCCATAAAAATCTCCTCCTCAAGGATGCCGTTAAGGAATGCCGTTACGATGTCCATTTGCTTTACTACCCATCCTTTGATGGCGGCTCCCGCGAATAGGGTTCGCAGCGTCGTCGGCTTCACCACAGGGGCAAACAGCTCCTTGAAGTCCACCTTCTCCTTCTGCTGGTACCCCTTGGCTACAAGCCTAGACTTGTAGCGCTCGATCTTGCCGTCGGCATCCGACTTGATTTTGAAGAGCCACTTGGACGTTATCGCCGTACGCCCCTCCGGTAGCTCCACCAATTCAAACGTGTCATTCTCCTCGATGCTCTTCAGCTCACTCTCCATGGACTTCTTCCACTCCTCAGCATCACTACTCTCCAAAGCCTCCTTGAGAGTTGCTGGTTCTCCCGGCATCTCCACCGGAGAGAAGAACGCGAAGGCACACTCCTCGTAGTCACTCTCCTCGTCGTCTCCGACCATCATTGCCGCTCCGGCCAGGGCTGTCTTGCCCTGCTTTCCCGGCGCATCATAGGTCAGCCTATTAGGGGGTTGAACTCTCCTCTTCCCCCTTCCTTCCTCCTCAGCTGCAGGGACTTGAAGGCCTTGGCGTTGCTGCGGTGTGGCTCGAATCCGTGGAGCACTCGTAGTACGGGAAGGGAGTGACGGTGCACGCTCGCTCACTTGCTGCACCTCCTCCTCTTCTTCCTCTGCATCATTGGCCTCCTCTCCCCCATTCACAAGGGAGGATTGCCTTGTGGTTGTGCTGCCGCTGCTCAGCTCCAAAGGCAGCTCCACATGCTCCAAACCGGAACTCTTCACCTCCCCAAACCGCACGCCTATCTTCGCCTCATTCTCCGCCTTCCAATCCTTGTACATGAAGTTCTCCATGAACTTGCAGTCCCTGCTCACCAAGAACTTCTTGGTGAATGGGTCCCAAAGAAGCCATCCCTTGCTGTTTTGAGCCATGCCCAAGTGCACGGCCCACACCGCCTTGACACCAAGCTTGTTGTGCCGAAGATGCTTAGGCACGAGCGCCATGCACATGCACCCGAACACCCGAAGCATATCCACCTTTGGCTTCCTTCCTAGCCACTCCACATAGGGCACCCATTTGTCTGCTCCCACATGAGTCAAGGCTCTGTTCTTGGCCACACACGCGCTCCGCACCGCATCAGGCCAGAAATAGTCGGGTAGCCCGGCTTCAATGAGCAACCCGCGTGCCGCCTCCGTGATTGTGCGGTTCGCTCGCTCGGCGATGCCGTTCATTGCAGGGGAGTATGGCATGGTGAGGGAGTGCCGAATACCATTCTTCTTCAGCCACAACCCAAACTCCTTGCTCAGGAACTCTCCCCCTCGATCGGTGCGGATTGACTTGACTAGACGGTCTTGTTGCCGCTCCACCATCGGGAACCAATCCGTCTTCAACGTTTCAGCCACGTCGCTCTTCTTGGCCAGCACGTACACCCAAGTCATGCGGGTGTAGACGTCGACAATGGTGAGAAAATACTCAGCTCCAGCAGCTCCAAGCTTCAGGGGGCCCACCACGTCCATCACCACCTCATCAAGCGGTGCCTTTGCCGTTGCCTCCGAACTAGGGAACGGAAACCGGGTGAACTTGGCTTGAATGCACGTCGGGCAGCCAAGCACCTCATCGGGCTCCCCCTTCACACGTATGCCAGCAACCATCTCATTCTTCACTAGCTGCTGCAAGATGGGCAGGGCCACATGCCCCATGCGCCGATGCAAGGTGAGCCAATCACACTCCCCCGTAGCCGAAGTTGGATTGGAGAATGCCGCGCTCGCAATAGCGCCCCACATACTCTCTCCGTAGTCCTCCTCCGCTGCTGCCTCTGGGTTCTCCTCACCCTTTTGCTGCTCCTTGGTTGCTGCACCACTCTCCTTAGGTTCACTGAACTTGCTGGTCCCTCCAGGTTTGCTCTTCTTGAGCTCATTCTCCTTAGCGCGACCGTTCGCGCCATCGTCGCTACCGACCGCTCCATCCTTGGTGCTGATGCTTGCTGCCACTTGCCTCTCCTTAGGCATAGGGACCACTGGGATCTGCCACATCTCGTTGTAGACATCCCTGTCCTCATGAAGGTCCCAAAGAATTCGATCGCCAAGCCTTGCGGTGTAGGTCTTGGCTCCCTTCGAGTTCGTGTCCATGCCGGCCTTTGCCAACCGCCGCACGGAAATCAGGTTTGCAGCAAGGCTGGGCACCCAAAGCACGTTCTTGAGGCCCACCATCTTCCCATCAGCACCCTTGAACATGGCCTTGCCCATGCCTTTCACCTCTGCTCGCTGCCCCAAAGCCGATGTGACATGCTTCACCGGTGACGGCTCGAGTTCGGTGAGCAAGTCCGGGCGAGGTGTCATGCTATAGGTAGCGCCACTATCAATCACCCAATAGTCCAGGGGGTGTAGGGTCACCTTCCCCACAGCTGCTGGCTCCTCAAAGCCTTCATCCTTCTCTGGACCAGCCGGTACTTGCGTCGACACGAAGTAGAATAGACCCGGGTATCGATCGTCGCTCGGGTCCTTGTCGTTGTCTCCGCTCTTCATGTTTGCAGCTCCGCCACCGCGACCGCCACGGCCTCCACGGCCTCGTCCTCTCCCTCCTCCTGCTCCTCTACCCTCTTGGCCTTGAGCAGGGGTCCAACCATCAGGGAGTTTGTAGCAGTCGCGCCACATGTGTCCGCTCTTGTGGCAATAGTGACACTCGCCGTCGAATCGGCCGCGACCGCGTCCGTAGCTCTTGTCGTCGCTGCCGTAACCGCCACTCCTGCGGCCTCCGCCGAAGTTGCTGCCACCAAACCTTCCTCCCCCTCGTCCTCTGCCTCTTCCTCGACCATATCCACGGCCGATGCTCGCTGCCCCAGCGCCATCCGCACTCGCCAACTCACGGCGGCGGAAATCCTCTTGAAGGATAGCTCGCTTCACGTCTTCAAACGAGAGGCGGGGCAAGTCGCGATTAAGGTTGATGATGAGCGAGGACCATGACTCTGGGAGTAAGGCCAGCAACTTGGTCTTCTTTTGGAGCTCACTGTAGTTCAAATCAGCTCCCTCAAGCCGCGTCAACAAGTCGAAGAATTTCTGCACCCCTTCTTCAACCGCTTCGTCTTCTTCAATTCGTAGTGCCGCCATTTGCCGTTCCAACACCACCGCTACCGCCGCTGTTGCAGGAGCATGTACACCCTTGAGAGCAGCCCATGCCTTTGGTCCTTTCTCTGGTTCACGCTGGAATGGCTTGATGTGACGGATCTGACTGCTCCCCAACGCTTGCCCAAGTAAGAGATAGCCTTGTGCGCTCTTCCGCACCCACGGGCTCTTCTCCGGGTCGTTCTCGGGGCGCTTCTCCGTTCCTTCCATCACCTCCAGCAGGTCATAGTGGTCAAAGATGTTCTCCATCTTGAAGGACCATTCAGCAAAGTTGTCACCGTTGAACTTGTCAAGCCCAAACACCCTAGGCTCATCCCTAGGTGGGCCAAGACTTGGTTGCATGGGCGCCATGGCTGAATCACGGGGTTGGCCTTGAGCTTGAGCTTCTCCACTGCCACCAGCACCTCTGCCACCCCTTTCCTCAGGTCCAGACATTGTCGAAACTGCTCCAAGGGGCTCTGATACCACTTGTTATAGTCACAATAGGCTTGAATGTGCCTAAAACGAAAGATAGAGAGCACAGACGGATTTCTGCACAGCGGCTTCAAACGTTGATAGCGTTCTGCTCACAGCTGCAAATGACTTGATTCAAATTGGATCTGGAGCGTCTTCACGTCGTCTACACTTAGCAATTTAGATTGCACGATTTGATAAAGAATTGACGACACAGCGTCGGTTTGAACGAACAGTACTATGGCAGCCACTATAGTCTTAGAACACAAGATAGGAAGAGTTACGAGTTGGGAATGACTCCCAACTCCTACAAACCCCAAGAGCCGAGGTACAGTGATGTGGAACAGTGCCACACTGTCCCCAACCACGAAGGGTCTCGAAACTACCCTTCACTAGGGCCTACACCAAGTGAAATGTTACACTACACAAAGTAATGTAACTATCTTCAATATCTTGAGGTGTACCCTTTTGGCAAGCTTCGAAATCACTTGAGGCTTGACACCAAGGCTCGGGCTCTTCATCACAAACTCATCCTTGAGTTCTTGATGGGTCTGCTGCACACACCTGCGACACGCCGAACGTTCGACACAGGACAAAATAGAAACCGCGCACGACAAAATAGAAACCGCGTGCGAGACACAAACGACCGCGTAACACGCGTCTAGCGATAACTCGCTATTGACTCGACACACACACTCGACATCATGACTCAACATTCACACACAATTATAAGCATGAAATATATATTATCCCATGCCCTCATACCATTCCATACACACACACATTCACGCACACGGACAACAAGCCGAGTGCAAACCGTAGGGTTGCACCAACACCCCTCGCCGCTTTGTTCACCGCCTCGCCGATCCTCGACGCGGTGTCGCGCACGCCGCCAACCACCCCGCCGACCGCCGAACCGGCCGCGCCAGCCGCGCGTCCTGCGCCCTCCTCCGCAGCCTCGCATCCAGCCTCCACCGTCGACGCCACATCAGCGGCGCGTTCGCCAGTCCGTTGCGTGAGGCCTTCAGCGGTTTCCTCCGCGGCTGTTGCGCCGGCCTTTGCGCGCTCCCCCGCCTCTGCGCCGGCGGAAGCGGCAGTGTCGCGCGTTTGCCCCACGATGTCCCATCCCACGCCCATGCCCTGCCCCGCGGCTTGCTGAAACCGGTCCGCCACGGACCGCACGCGGTCGTAGACGCCCCAGCCCGCTTTCCCCGCCTCTTCCGCGGCGCGCTGACCTCCTGCCTTGGTCCCCTCGAGCGTCGCCCCCGCGCCTTCCGCCATAGAGTCCGCGTACTCCTCCGCGCGCCGCTGCGCTTGCGCGCCCGTTTCTCCCGCACGCTCCCCCAGCTGCGCACCAGTCTCCCCCGCACGGCGCTGTGCTTCCGCGCCCGCCTCCCCCAACTGCTCCGCACCTGCGCGGCCAGCGGAAGCCGCCCCGGTGGCTGCCTCCTTGAGTTTTTCCCATGCGCTTGAAACGACGTCAGATGCGGCGCTTGCTCCGGCTTCTGCTTGCTTCTTAGCCGCGTCTCCGCCCTTGGCGGCGGACTGGCCGGCCTTGGCTGCCGATTCGCCTGCCGCGTCTGCCGCCTCTGACCACTTCTCCTCCGCCTGGGCTTCGGACGACGATCTGTACATGAAGACAGGCATCATGAGGAGCCACAACATGGAGTGAAGAAACAAATGTAAGTGAAGAAAAAAATGTAAGTACAAAGGAGCACGAGGGAGGTAAACTTTTTATGATAAACAACTTACCTCTTTCCTGAAGGAATATATTAGAGAGCGTAGCGATAGCGAGAGAGTCTCTGCTATGGGAATGATGTTGCGCCAGCAACTTGGTAGAGTTTTGGTAGCGTTTGCCTCTAAGGACTTTGTGGGAATTGAAGTAGCATTTGGGCCAAGTAGAATTGCAATATCAATTATCAAACACACAAGCAAACACAAACATATATAGGCAAGCAAGAGTTGCACAATTGTTGCGTGGCGCTGCGAGTAACCCAACCCACACGAAAGTGCTGTGCAGGTGGGTGAACACGCCCCGCACATTTCCAACCCAACTTGGCACCGGAATGTCTCACCGTGCACGCTACTCCTGCCAACACAGCAAGTGAGCAGCGTGCCTCACAAGCAAGGCACCTACGACCCCCAAGACTCGTCATTCCTAGCACCGATTCCGCCGAGTTCGCTGCAGTAGCTCACAGTCACCCGTAGTCACTAAGGACCGCCACCGAACTCGTGCGTCGGTGCCGAGTAGACTCAGTCGTTAGGCGCCGACCTGCCAAGTCAAAGGTCATCGAGGGCCCTTGCTGTCGTAGGGCCCTCTAACACTCCCCTGCCATACTACAGCAAGGCCCTTTATAATCACAGGGCATGCATACACACATACACACCAAAACAAAGGGATACACACAAACGAAACACGCTCAAAGTGTAAACACGCACCGCACCAGCCATGGATAGGCCATGGCACCATCCACATCATGGAGTGTCTAGGTCTCACTCCCCTCGCTCGAGAGCCGCACCTGCCCCACAGCCTCGAAGCAACGACTGAAGGCGGGGAAATGCAATGCCTTTGTGAGGTAGTCAGCAGGCTGCTCGCTCGTAGGGATGTACTGCAGCTGCAGCTTCCTGCGCTTGACCATGTGCTGCAGCCACATGTGACGACACTCCATGTGCTTGAGGCTCCCCTTGAGCCCCATGCCACCTGCCACTGAAATGGCGGAGGAGTTGTCCACAAAGAGAGTCGTGGGCTCCTCACTCCTCAGCAGTTGAAACTCTGCCAGCAGGAAGCGCAGCCTGCGCGCCTCCTTCCCAGCCTCCACAGCAGCAACGTACTCAGACTCAGTGGAGGAAAGGGTGGCGCAACGAATCCGCTGGCTCGCCCATGAGACAGCAGCACCCCCGAGCACGAAGACATAGCCACCTGTGCTGGTCCTGTTCTGCTTGTCCCCTGCATCAGCAGCATCGGCGTAGCCCACCAGCTCCAAGGACTCCGGCCCACCACCAAACTCCAGCGCCACATCCCTGCTCCCCACCAAGTACGTCAAGCACCGGTCCAACTCCTTCCAGTGCTGATCACTCCGCACAGTCTGGCCCGACCCCAGCTTGCTGCAGGCGAACGAGATGTCGGGACGGGTGGTACAGGCCGCGAACTGCAAGGATCCCACCTTCTGCCTGTACTCCTCCTCCTGGCGAGACTGCCATCCCACATCCTCGAAGGTCTGCACACTGAAAGGGTCAGAGGAAGGAGGGGTGCGAGGCACTCGCAGCGGCTGCTCCCCGTCAAAGAAGCGCCTATGGACCTTGTCCACATAGGCCCCCTGGTGCAGCCACAGCCTCCTCGTGGGCCTGTCCCGAATCAGCTGCAACCCCAGATATTTCTCCACAGGGCTAATCTCCCGCAGCTGAAAGGCACTCTGCAGCAGGTCACGCAGCTCCGCTAGCATGCTCTGACTGCGGCTGGCAGCAAGCAGGTCATCCACATACACCAGCAGCCAGCACATCTCCCCCTCAGCATCAGTCTTGAAGTACAGAGCCTCATCCACCTTGCTCTTCTTCCATCCAGCCCCAAGCAGCACCCCATCCAAGGCCTCATACCATAGCATCGGGCTCTGCTTGAGCCCATACAGACTCTTCACCAACTTACAGACACGAGGAGTCCCATCCTCGTAGTAGCTCGGCTGCTCCATGTAAAGGTCTCGGTCCAGCACGCCATGGAGGAACGCGTTCTTCACATCGAGCTGCATCAGGTCCAAATCAAGTGCAGCTGCAATCGCCAGAAGCACATGCGCTGTCACATAGCTTCCCACAGGGGCGTACGTCTCCTCATAGTCCACCCCTGCCACCTGCGTGAACCCCTTCACCACCAGCCTCGCCTTCTCACGCTCCACTATCCCATCAGGTCGGAACTTGGTGTTCAAAATCCAGCGGTTCTTCATCACATTCACCCCTGGCGGACGCGGAACCAACTCCCACGTCCCCTGCTCAATCAAGCTCCGCATCTCCTCATCCATCGCCTCCTTCACCTTGTCTCCCTTCCAGCAGCCCAAGGCCTCCTTCACTGTCATTTTCGCTATGTCCCACTGCCTCTCAGGATCAGCTGCCACGTCCGGGTCCAGGTTAGTCCACTCCTCGTCCTCCTCCTCGTCATCCAAGCCCGCTGGCTCAACCACTACAGCCCAAGCGTATCGAACAGGCGGGACACCACGAGTGATGCGAGTGGAGCGACGCAGTGGTGCAGTGGTCGTCCCAGAAACCAACACACGACCACCATCTCTAATTCCCCACATCTCCTGCTCCCCTGTCTGCGGCCCCCCTGTCTGCTGCTCCCCAATCTGCTGCTCCCCTGTCTGCTGCTCCCCAATCTGCTGCTCCCCTGTCTGCTGCTCCCCTGTCTCCTGCCCCCCACTCTGCTGTACTCCATCCATACTGCTCTCGTCCTGCAGCTGCTCAGTCTCAAGGCGCTGCCCGTCGGTGATCTCCACAGACGGTGGCACCTCCATCCCCCCCTCACCAACGGGCGGCGCCGTGGAAGACGAAGAAGAGGGCGGAGCAGGTGCAGGAAGGATGGAGGGTGGAAGGGGAGATGGAATAACAGGAGGAGGAGGGGAAGCCAAGGGGGGTGAGGAGGAAAAAGGCGGGGCAGGGGGAATCACACGAGGATAGACTGAAGGCGGAGGTGGGGTGGGGACCGAGGTAGGGACATAGGGCATAGCAGGAGGTGCGACCACCTCCTCCTCCTCCTCCGCCTCCTCGAGAGTGATCGGGAAGAGTGAGGGAAGGGGCTCATAGGGCATCGAACGCCCCCCATGCTCCTGCTGATGCCAAGCCTTCCATCCTGCTAGGGACATGGTCTCATAGAACACAGCTTCCACAGTGGTGATGAGGCGGTTGGACTCCAAGTCCAGCACGGTCCAGCCCTTGCTCGCAGCTGACACACCCAAGTGCAACCCCCAGCGAGCCTTAGGCGCCAGCTTCCCCCCACGCTGCGACTGTGGTACCATGTACTGCAGCATGCAGCCCCAAACACGCACCATACTGACATCAGGTTTGCGTCGGAAGGCGAGCTCGTACGGCGTCACACCAGAGGGTAGTGAGGCGTGCTCCACGCGGTTGCGCACCCAGACGGCCTGAGCCAACGCCAGGTGCCACCAGTGATGCTGCACACCCATGTGCAGCAACATCGTCCGCACCGCCTCCACAATGCTGCGCATCTCCCTCTCGGCCATCCCGTTCTGCTCCGGCGTGTACGGGCATGTGAGGTCATGGATGATGCCTTTACCGTCGAGGAAGAGCGTGAAGGCGTGCCCCAGGAACTCGCCACCCCGATCAGTGCGCAGCGCCTGCACCGTGGTCTTGCACTGTCGCTCTGCCATCGGGAGCCACTTCTGGAACGCCGCCAGCGCATCACTCTTCTGGGCCAAAGGGTAGGCCCAGACATATCGCGTCTTGCGATCCTTCAGCACCAAGAAGTAGCGGCTGCCGTCCTTAGCTGCTTCACGGAAAGGGCCACACAGGTCAGCATGCACCACCCCGAGCAACTCATCCTCCTCCTCTCCCACAGAAGGAAAGGTATGACGAGTGATCTTTCCCCCAACACAGGAGACACAAGGTATGCCTGACTTGCCCCCCTTCTCCAAATCCAAGCCCTTCACTGACCCGTGAGCCGCTGTGCGCTCGATGGCATCAATACCAACGTGTGCCATACGCGCATGCCACAGGTCCCCCTTAGACCGTACGCCCGTCGCCAAAGTACGAAGTGCCACCGTTTCGCCTTCCTGCTGCTGCGTCGAACACGGCTGTAAGTTCGTGCAGAGAACACGCCCCTTGAACTCCGCACGACCAAGGAGCGATCCATCTGGTGCCCTCAGCAAAGTCACATCCCCGGCATCCAGCAGCTGCACACCACTATCACGCAGCTGCCCAGCAGAGAGAAGACTCGCCTGCACTCCTGGTACGTACAGCACGTCCGGCACCAAGACACGCCTGCCCCCCTCCCCAAGAAGAGCGACTGTGCCTCGCCCCTGCACCTCCTGAAGGGCGCCGTTGAAGCCGGTAACCTGCTTAATGCTGCCGCCGCTGCTCATCTCCACAAAGGCAGAACGATCTCCCATGAGATGGTGGGAGCATCCGCTATCAAGCAGCACGACGCTCGGGTTCGCCTTCACAGCAGCTGCAACAGCCTGTAAGCCCTCCCCGGCCTCAGGCTCTAGCACAACGAGAGGAGTCTGCTCCACAACTGGCTTCACCATCGCACATGATGACTGCCCGCTCCCCTTAGAGCCATCACCCCCCTTTCCGCTGCTACCTCCAGAACCCTCTCCACCGGTGTCTGCCTCCTTATCCGCCCGCTGCTGACAGTACTTAGCAACATGCCCTATTTGTCCACACACATAGCACTTCCCCTTGAAGCCCCCTTTCCCCCCCTTCGGCTGGCCATCCTTACCCCCTTTCCACTTCTCCCCTCCCCCACCAAGCCCACCCCCATTCTTAGGCTGCTGCTGCTGTGCCGTAGTGGGAGAGGAAGGGAATGAAGTCTGCTGGAATTGGGGCTTACCCTTCTTGGTAAAGACCTGGTTAGCCTGGGGAAGAAATTGGTCCTTTCGTCCCTCTGCCGCCAGCGTACACTCCTCCTCGATGATGTAGCTAGC